CAGGCAGTGGTGGTGCATTCCTTTAATCCCACGATTCAGGAGGCAGAGGCTGGTGGATCTCGAGTTTGAGGCTAGCCTGGTCACAGAGTAAGTTCCATGACAACCAGTGCTGTTACCCAGAGAAGCCCTGTCTTGAAAAACAACAAAAAACCCCAAAACTCATGTAGACATCAAAAGAGCTAGGCTTGGGTCCTGCTGTGGAAGCACAGTTTTCTGGCAGACTTTCCAAGAGCTTCCTTCTAGCAAAGCAGTCCTGGTGCCCACACGAAGTGCTTTTTCTCACTTTTCCAAATTTGTTTTGCTCTCTTTGAAGTCTGGACCGTTGCTCTCTGATCCACTCATTCACAGCCCCGGTCAGTGCATGCCTGTCAGTGTGCCTGGGACTGAGTGCTTAGATGTGTCAACAGTAGCAAGGGCCGCTTGGTTTCCCACTAAGCAGACTAGAGCCAGGACCAAGAGCCACTATTAGAGCTGTAGGCTTTTGTGTTCTTTCAGATGCAACGTAATTGTCCAGTTAAAGCACAACCAGCCAACGCTGTAGCTAACTGAACTGCATTAAAGAACTCTGGGTAACCCAGTAGTGAGATATCCACCCTGCCCCCAGCTGTAGCTCTGACCACGCTTCTTTGTGGTCACAGGTGCAGACAAGACAGAGGGTCTGGGGTCCCGGACCTGAGCATGCTCTCTTGCTTCCAGTCAGGTCACAGAGGGCACCCTGGGTGAATCCTTGGAGCTGGAACTTGGGGCTGTCACACACTTCTTGTATAAGTGCATTCTCCCCAAATAAACTTCACTTAACCTGTACTGAGTCTAGTGGATCTTGATTCCCATGCAATATAACCTTCCTTAAAGACCCCACACCTGCATGGACTTGGTATATCTTACTTTCTGTAACTTTTGTTAAATAATCCCACACCCAAGCTTTCAGGTATTACCTTATTTATGTAAAAAGAATTATCACATATACAGTGGTCATGCATGTTTGCCTGTAGGCCAGAAAAGGACACCAGATTTCAGATAGGTGTGACCCACCATGTGGCTGTTGGGAATTGAACTCAGGGCCTCTGGAACGGCAGGCAGTGCTCAAAACCCTTGAGCCATCTCTCCAGCCCCTTAAGGTATTATGTCTTGGTTGCTTCTCTTCCTCTGAATACACTTACTAAACCCCTGTTCTGTGCTTGAACCTTTGCAAATGGCTCTTAGACCTAATGATGGTGTGGAGCCTCCTTCAGTATGGTTTTCCCATTCTCCTTACTTGAGGTGTGTGGTAGGCCATGTGACAGCTCTCGCCGCTTGCCCACTCCAAGGTCAGGCCTGGTCTTTGCTGCCATCTTGAACTGACCCTCATAGCAGCAGTCTTTAAATATTGACAGGTTGGCTGGGGCATCGCCACTGTTAAATCAGTACTGATTAGGTACTGACAAACACATGGAAATTAGGTCTTGATGGTATGAAGGGCAGAGTATCTCTGGGGTTCCCCAGACCTCCCCACTTTGTGTCCTGGTTGAAAAAACAGGCACCTTGATCTTGGTAACATGGCTGCAGGTTCTTCTCAGCAGATTTGAGCTGAAATCAGGTTTACCACACTGATGCATTGGCCAACTTACTAAGTGTTCTCTGTCAACCTGATTTGACTCAGATAAGTCCCACCAGAATGTCGCCTTCAGCCTTCTGTGTACCATCTCTACCTTTACTGTCCACCTGTGGGAGCTCACACATCCCTGTACATGTCATTGGCCAATAAAACAAACAATGAAAGCTGTCATTTGTGGTGAGGTCAAACCTCATCTGTTTTGTTTTTCTTTTTTTTTTTTTTTTTGAGACAGCCTTTGTGTAGTTCCAAAGACTTTGTGTAGACTAGCCTGGAACTCACAGATCCTCCTGCCTGTGCCTCTTAGGAATGCACCCCACACTGGTCCTCCACACCCCCATGTTTTTGAGAGCAGCTCTTCCTCCCCGTGTTGTCTAGGTTTAACCCCAATGGTCCTTCCACCGTGGTCTCTTGAGTAGCTCAAGCTGCAGGCCTGAAGCACTGCATCCTGCATGGTTTTTGTTTCTCATTTGACACAGTTCTTATTCATACTCTCTTCATTAATTTAATGAGTATAACAAATTTTATAAATGTAAAAAAATTATACTTTTCCTGGAGAATTGGTCAGGACATCGGAAACTCAGAAGGGCAGAGCTTGTACTACAAAGAGGAGCTGGGCCCAGTGGAGCAGTACAGTCCCAAGCCTGCAAGCATAGGTCCAGAGCTCCCTGGTGGGAGTCCCTGCAGCACTTTTATTCCCCCACAGGTCTGTCCTCTCCCAGTCCTGGGAGCACTGTTCAGAGGCCAGATGACCAGTGTCTGTACAGCAGATGCTTGTACCTTCAGAGGTTGTCATGTCGTACTTTGTCTCCTAGGCACTGGATGGGTCAGCTATAATCCTCTGTCTTGCAGTCAGCTGCTGCATTTGTGTTGCTCCTGGAGCCAGAGCAGTACTGCAGACAAGCCAGTGCCATCCCTGGCACTTATTTCCGCCGTGGTAATATGCTGCTTGGCACAAGCAATGATGTCTGGAAGCCTGATTAATGACTTTATTTCCTCCACGGTCATGTAACAGGGCAGGTCACTGTAATTAAAGGAGCAACTTCATCAGAGGTTGAAGGCCACAAACTTGCCCTCCCCACTGTGGATCCCATGTTCCAGGCTTGGGGACACCCTGCCCTTTGTCAGCCCTAGACCCATACATTTTATTGAAGAGTATCAGGACTGAGGCTTTTGCAAGTTCTTCTGCAGAAAGGAGACCCAAGAGCAGCACACAGGATGCAGAGAGCTGGGTGGGGTTAGAGGCATCCATCACAAACTAGGGAAAAGGAAACAAGCTAACACAAGGTTTTCCAGGCCAACCCTCCACCTGGGCATTGCACAAGTGACTCAGGAAGAGCTCAGAACTTAACGTGATCATTTATGATGCTGGAGACTGAACCTAGGGCTTCAAGTGTGGCTAGGCAAGCACTCTACTGAGCTGCACGCCCGGTCCCAGAGTGGCTTTTAAGCAAAAGGTCTTGGAAATGGGCAACAAAAGGAAGTTGTATGAGGATGGCTTGGTGTCACTGGTGTCTTTTTAAGTACATAAAGTTCTCCATCCCAGAATTTGGAGCCCTCCCTTGTGGGGATGGGGCCGACCAGAGAGACGGACGTAGGAATGTTGGGCATATTCAGGTATCAAGGCATAGAACAAACAGTGCCTTCAGCAAGCGTCCTGGAGTCTGAGTCCTGTTCAGGAGCTCAGACCAATGCCTAAGAGCAAGCAATGTAGCCTAAGTCCCGTTTCCCCAAGCACAGTCATCAAAGACCCCAAACCGGATCCCATACAGAGCAGGGTCTGCTACTTGATGACTCAGGGAGACAGACACACTTCTCCCACAAGAAGCTCCAAGTACTGACTCACCAGGAGCGAGTGGCAGTTTCCATAGTAACTGGACCAGATGGGGCTCATGCAACCCCCGAGCTCTCGGATGGTGATCTTCCTGTGGGCCACGATGTCAGTGAGGTTGGTGCCCACCTGTGGAAAACACCAGGACGCGCAGACAGCAGTGTAAGCGCTGTACCATTGCGAACTCCTGGACGGCCGCTCCGCGGCTAAACCTCCACAATTAGTGACAACCGTTCGAGCCCTTCAGCAGAGCTCGACACCAAGGAAAGCAGTTCTCCGGGACTCCGGGCCAACGTCAACCACAGAGATGGACCCTGAGGGTGACAGCTCTCCCCGCCTTGGGAGGGGGAGCCCGAGGCGCTTTGCCAGTCGCAAAGGTGACCCGTGCAGGTCAGACCTGAGAGAGGCGGACACCTACCGTGGGCCGCGTCGGCGGAGGGTCCCCCAGGTCGCCCTTGCCATCTCCCGCGCTCAGCTGTTGGGGCGGTCAAGGGCCTGAGCGCGGCAGAGGGCGGAGTCCGCGTCCCGGGTAACCCGGTGTGTCCCCGCCCGCCCGCCCGCCCGCTCGCCCGCCCGCACGGCGCGGAAGGATATTCTGCAGGCGCTTCACCAGCAGGGTCTTGCCGACCCCCGCAGCCCCGAGCAGGAGACACATCCCCGGTCCCGGTGG